TTGACACTATGAAAAACTTTATCGTAAACTTTGATACTTAGAAAAAGTTTATCGAAAACATTTACTCTTTGAAAAACTTTAACGAAAACTTTGATACTTTGAAAAACATTATTGAAAACTTTTACACTTCGAAAAACTTTATCGAAAACTTTTACACTTTGAAACAATCGAAAACTTGGATACTTAGAAAAACTTTATCGAAAACTATGACACTTCAAAAAACTTTATCAAAAACTTCGATACTTTTAAAAAACATTATCGAAAACTTTTACACTTCGAAAAACTTTATCAAAAACTTTGAAACTTTGAAAAACTTAATAGAAAAGTTTTATACTTTGAAAAACTTTATTGAAAACTTTGACACTTTGAAAAACTTTATCGAAAACTTTAATACTTTGAAAAAACTTTGGCGAAAACTTTGACACTTTGAAAAACTTTATCAAAAACTTTGAAACTATAAAAAACTTTGCGATAACTTTGACACTTTGAAAAACTTTTTTGACACTTTGAAAAACTTTGACGAAAACTTTGACACTTTGAAAAACTTTGACGAAAACTTTGAAAAACTTTGGCGAAAACTTTGACACTTTGAAAAACTTTGGCGAAAATACTTTGAAAAACTTTCGAAAACTTTGACATTTGAAAAACTTTGGCAAAAACTTTGACACTTTAAAAAACTTTGGCAAAAACTTTGACACTTTGAAAATCTTTATTGAAAACTTTTTTGAAAAACTTTGACGAAAACTTTGGATTTACTATAGTTAACTATACGCTTAACATAGTTAACTAATAGGGTATAATCTAAAATGCGGGAGCGAATTTTCTTCAGATAAATGAAGTTTGAAATACTTCTTGGCATACTTTGCTTTACTTTTATCAAGCATGTATTCCGTATAATCACTGAGCGGATCAAAACGCTTAGCGTCTAGTTCATCACCAGAATCGGCCTGCGGCTCGTCACGGCTATGCGATTGTGTCAATGGCGACTTGTAAGTGAAATCGTCAATTTCGCCATCCTCTTCTGATGAACTATCATCTTCGTAAGGATCGGACGAATCACTGTCGTCTTCATAACGATCTTTGTCTATCGCTCCCTTTTTCAGTCTTTTCTTAGGGATGCTATAATTTTCCCACTTTTTGAGGTCGCCATCTTGGCCATACAAGAGTTTTTTATCTGCATGATTTGCAGAATTGCCATCTTGGCCCACATCTGCCCCATCTGGGCTACAAACAGGACTATCCATGTCCGAATCAAAAGGCTGCACCAAAGTAAGTAAAATCACTAAGGTAAAACGCAAAATCCGCAAGGATTAAGGTAGATAGGCTATAGATAAAAAATATTCGTCTGCTATATCAACGAAGCCAAACGGAAGAAGGAAGATCTCGCGAGATCTCTTTCTTTAAAAAGGCTGGGATTACCGGAAGCCAGGGAGAATACATCATTATACCTTACTTCAGTTTTATGAAATAAAATGCAGGTTTCAAATACATTGGTAACATTAGTTACGCAGGGTAATCAAAACCCATGGTCATCGTGTTATGATTGATGAAACATGTTGGCTATCAAAACAGCTTTTGAATAAACACAAATTATTATCTGCCGATTTGAATTAAAGTAAAGCGTGATAATTAGAATTAATTGAATGACAGTACTACTCGCAATTACTGTGAACATGGACTGCACGAACACCTATAGAAATCTATCAAAGTCTATTCTCAATTTTCCAAACAAACAAGGAAATTATTTAAAATTTATTCACTGTTTCTTGAATTCATGGATTTGTTAACACCGTGAATATAGCGAATATTAACACCGCGAGTTATTTTTCCCCTATACAGTATATCAAATGATATTTGTCTGTCTTCAAGACTTGCATAATGTACAATTAATAATTAGATGTCATGATATGTCAAGACAAGTTCACAAGTAATACAGAATTCTGTAATTTCTGTTGGCCCTGAGAACACAACTGTACCTTGTACACTGTACATATACTGTACATATACTGTACATATACTGTACATATACTGTACATACATGTATACTGTACATATACTGTACGTGGTGCTGAGGCCTTACATTGATTGACTGAGGAGAGTCCTTTGTACACAGCACTGGACTGGAATCTGATCTATATAAAAAAATTGCATTATTAGAAAATCTGTTGGATAACAGTTCAAGATCAACTGACATCAAATTGATATGAATATATGAATCTGACATGGTATAATTTTTAAATTCATATTTTAAATTGTATCAATTCAATTACTTACAAATATGTATAAAAGATCAATGAAAATCAAGGGAATATTACTTTAACTCAATCTTCCTTACTTCAATGAAAAGACATTTATAGCACTTTATACAGCGACATTAATATAAACAAGAAGTCTCTGTGCCACAATGCTCACCTTTGTCCTTTCCTTCTCCCCTTACCCCTCCCTGTTCTTAAAATTTTGAAAATTGAGAATTTACATATTTCAGTAACCTCACTAGCTGATATAAGCTTTATCTTCTCTGGTCAAGTAATTTTTGAGAAGAATTTTTTTAATGATTTTTTCTACATATTTTGATACCAAATTGTGGGCTTATTCTCCGTCCGGGGACCACGATAAAAACAACTTAGAATCTTAACCACAAGTACATTTATATCATAAACCTAGAAGTGTATCAGCCTTGATTATAACACATGATTTTGACTTGATTAGACAGCTGCTAGGAGCGAGGGCTGCATTGCCCTGAGGGCGACATCACTATGTCTTGCCCTGTTACTAAGGGGTTGTTTCGCCCTCAAATTTTAATTATTTCTTTTAAATATGTGTATATTTATGACAGTAAAATATGTATATAGGTTTTAAAGAAAGGTATTTTGTATACTAAAATTACATCTGAATTTTTGAAAATAAATAAGCAATGCTAATACATAAAAAATTAAGTTTTTGAAACGTGTGACAAACGATGCTGCTCCTGATGTAATAGAGGTAACTCTTGTTAAAATAGAACATATCAACATATTATATTTTGAACACGAAAAGGTTGACTTGTATATCTGTTTCGGCTGTAAGAATGTACAAATTTCTCTTTATATGCTATGTTTAAGCATGTATTTAAGTTGAAAACTTCTGGCCTAGCCTGTTATGACAGGAAGCATGCTTGAAACTGAAAGTAGAACTCTCTTAAGTTTGGGACCTTCAAATCTTAATAATCAAATGTGCTTAATCTAAAGTTAAGGAACCATACATGTAGGTTTTCTCCTTTCTGACTTAATGCTTAATTCTTAACAATTTTTTTTATCTTCCTATTTAAACTTTGCTCCAATAACGATAATATGATTTCACACTGTCTTAAATATGTTTTCCTTCTTTTTAATTATCTCCTCTAGAATTTGGACTTGACCCTTAAACAAATTATAATTAATGCATCACTACCAAAGATTCTTTATGATGACTGTGGTTAAATTTTTACAACTGTATGTTAAAAGTTTACGGACAAACAGACAGAAAGAGGCCGGACAATGATGGTGATCAGAAACGTTCACAAGCTTTCAGATTATAAATGAACCAATAACAAAAGTAATAAAGATATATATACCACAGAGAATTTGGTTATGTAGAGTGTACGGAACCCTGTGTCTGTGTCATTAGGATCTAGGAGATAACCTGTACAACCAAAATGATGCTGCTTTATACCATTCCTGGAACAATCTGTGTTTAAGAAAGACATACTGTCATTATTGCATTTAAATCTTAAACATCATCATTAAGTTTTCTACCATTAAAATTAATGTTCCATCACTGGCAAAGCAATCTTTAACTGAGGATCTGTGTTTAAAATCAATTTCCAGAATACATGATCTAGAAACTTTTAAAATTTTGGATGAATAGATAATCATATTTTTTAACTTAAGCCAATATAATTAATTTGTACAGTAGTTTCTCAGAAACCTGTTTTGGGTGCGGAAGTGTGTACCCTTTTAAAGTATTTTCTAATTTTCCAAGTTGAGACAAAAAGTGCTATGCTTTTAAAATACTTAAGATTCTGATACACAACATATTTTTATAACAATGTTTTATCAGCAAAATCTTTTATAAAGTATTGATAAAATAGAAAGCAATCATTATCTGTTTTAAAGAAAAGGGGGATAACACCTGCTAAAAAATCCCAAATGAAACTTTGCCATATTTTGCCTGAGAAACTAGAATAATTTTTGGCATATGTCATATACTAGTAAACATAAAAGAAAAACATGAAACCTGTACATATGGGATGTATTCTTCATCTACACGGATATCCATCACAATTTGTAGAACCTGTCAATATAAAATCAAACTTATTGACAGACAACTTTTTCACATATTTACATGGTAAGTAGACAATGCCTTCACATAGTAATAATAATTATCATCATTATTTAAGAATAGGCATCAGATAAACAAAGTTAAGCTTTTTATTTATTAATCAAGAAATAAAAGAATACACTCATTTTTCTTTTCCCAGAAAATTCCCAGATAAATTAGAGGTTATTAAACACACATTGTCTAATCTGATAATATTGATACGAGTTGCATATACTTTCATCCAATAAAAGATTATTTTTATACAGTTATGGGACTTAACGCATAATTTAGTATCAACTCTTCTGAAAAATTATTTGTTTAAAAGTATTATTAACTTTGGTCCCGTATTATGGCTCCACACTCTCCCAATTATTCCCCCTTTTTTAATTATCTACCTTTGAAGATGAAAATTGGCCTTTCATTTGAAGAATTTTAATTCCATTGTAACCAAAGGTTCTTTGTACCAACTTTGGTTCAGTTTGTCCCAGTATTGGTCTGTTCTCAAATAGCGACAAAAATATATAATTTACAGACGAACAACTGAGCATACAGAAAAACAGAGCCCGACAATGGGTGATCAGAAAAGTTCATAAAACTTTCAACTTAGGTTAACCAATAATAAAAGTAAAATAGAAATGTATACCACAGAGATTTTCTTTAGTTATGTAGAGATCTTGGAACACTCTGTCTGTGTCATAACAATTGGGAGCTAACCGGTGCAACCAAAATGATGCTGCTTTATTACATTCTTGGAACAATCTGTTTAAAAAAGATGAACTGACATTATTTCATTTCATTCTTTTAAACACATTAAAAAGTTTGCTTATTACAGTATTACAAATTTAAATAATTTTCTTCATTCGGGATGCAGAATGTACAGATACAAGTTTCAAATTAATTTGCATAAAATAACAACCAACAGGTTTAAAAACTTTGTATGCATAAGTAGTGTTTTATTTACCTTAAGACAAAAAAATCTTATTTTCTCAGACACTTCATCAGATAAAACAATGCCATATAAATCTTTATTCTCAGCGTGAAAGGGTACAAATTGATAACATAATTTTTCCAGTTAAATTAGAAATATATCCATGACATGAATGCCCTGCCGAGGATATATTAGTAAAGCAACATGAAAATTTGTATACATGTGTATAAAATTTGATCAGAATATCTTGAATAGTGATACAGCTGAATTGCTTGTTTGCAAAATATAGGTCAGATCAAGCATCCGAAGCAAGTCTGGTAGTGTCAATCCCTAGATGCATCATGCATACAAGTTTAGTTCAGGCCGGACTCATAGTTACTTGGGAATGAAAATATAGGTCAGATCCAGCATCCAAAGCAAGTCTGGTAGTGTCCATCCCGAGATGCATCATCCGTGCAAGTTTGTATCAACATGTGAAATTTGATAACACCATCTTGAATGGTATGTTTATAACTGAGCTAAACACTAATTTAAGAAAAGTGAGGTCAAGGTCAAAGGAAAGGTCAAGGTCAAAAAATTTTGATGCAGTTGCATAGCTCTCATCAATATCTATCAGCATATGAAGTTTGATGAAAATATCTTGCATAGTTTCTTTGAAACTTAGCTTTGAACAGGGCTAAACGCAAAGTGTGACGGAAGGACGGAAGACGGACATGACAAACATTATATGCCCCGGCCATATTCATGGCAGGGCATAAAAATGAGTTATTCAACTTCCCTGTAACTATTTTGTTTCTTCATACTAGAGTATGTTTCTTTTGTAACAATGTCTTATCAGTAAACATTTTATAAAGTAATGATAAATATAATTTTAAGTTTATTCAAATAACACACATATACATTATAATAGTAACTAGTCATTAATAGAGTATGTTTCTTTTATAACAATGTCTTATCAGTAAACATTTTACAAAGTATTGATTAACATAATTTTAAGTTTATTCAGTATCAAATCATACATGTACAAGGATATACATGTATAATAGTAAGGAGACATTACTTGCTGACAAGAAAAAGAATGCTGGGGCTTTCATGAAAAAATAATTGTTTGATTTTTATAATGTACTCCAGATCATATTTTTCAGGGTTAGTAGGTAGGTAGGTAGGAAGGTAAGTATTGTTTTCTAATTATCTAACACATTGATAACTGTCGTTTAAATTACTGACTGAGACATAATTGTTATTTAATTTTTTTTTCTCATTTCAATGTATACATGGAACAGCTAGTCAGTTTTAATACTTGTTGATATCAAAACTTTTAACATCTTTAGGAAATAAAAGACTTTAACTTTAAAAACCCTATAGGCAATCTGTATGTCAAAGGAACCAGAAAAATGGTAATGAAAAAAATTAAAATGCTGAGAAAAAAAAATAATTGGGTAAGTAGGTATGATTTTGATGGGTTGGTTGGAGTACATCAAATAAATATTTTTTTAGTTGGCCTATTTACACTGCTTCACAAAAAGAACCTGTATGCTACTTTGAACTTTGTACATAATGTTTGACTTCAGAATCAAGATGAATATTTCTTTGCCTAGTTCATTTACCAGCACACATAAAAGAAAATGTGGAAACCTGTACATATATGTCTATATATTCTTCTTTTTACAGCTATCCGTCACAAATTGGAAAACCTGTCAAAATAAATATAACATAAAATTATGATAAGTGCTTCATATCTTGGCTTTTAAATAGATATAATACCTGCGCAAAATCATATTAAAAGCCGCCCCCCCCCCAACCCCCCAATGCTACGTGCCCAAAATAAATTGTCAGTGATGATAAATTGTAAGCATAAGATATGACAGAATTAATTTCTTTAATTAACGGGACTCATTCTACATGATCTGCACATACATTTTCACGAAGCGACGTTTCAGACGCGTTAAAATGACGTCTAATTGTGCTAAAATGCAGAACTGCTGGTAAAGTAGTCCCCCTTCCACGTAAAACAGCGTTGTGTGTTTAAAAATAAAATGTTGATGCTATGTTAACCCACTGCGACTTGTAAACTATGCAGTTAGATAAAATATTCCTATTTGTGTGTTTTGATATGCCCTCTTTCCACTACAATAAAAGGCTCCCCCGTTTTTTCTTTTCATTTTTTTTTTAAATGAGGAATGGAAATTGCCTGATATAGGTGAAAAACAAAACATTTCACGGATTATTTTTACTTTGTCTATTCCTTTGTTTATTTGGTAGTCTAGTATATAATTGTGTCTAAAAACAGGGGAAATGGTCCATATTTTGAAAGTGAACCCATTTCACTAACAATGAGGCCTCGTGATTTTATACAGCTGCAGATCTGTAGCCTGCTGGTCTATGAAACTGATACGATTACAAGTTTGGCTTTACAAACTTACAAGATTGGATTTACAAATTTAGAGGAAATACACACGTCTTCCCTGACTTCTACTTCTTATACCGTTGGCGCTGAGCCGGGCTGCAGGTTGAACAGACGGCATTTTTGCTCACAAGGGTGCGTTCGATAGTGAACGCTCATATTCGGAATGTTTCGGGGCACAGTGACACTTTGTGTAAACGTAGTCACCATGGTCCCGGTGCAAAAAAAAAAACTAATTGAACACTAAAATCGTTTAGTTTTGATTGTTTCATTACACAATATTTATCATTATTTTAAATATTATTCATTGGCGTCGGAAGGAAATTGAAAAAAAAAATTCTAGGGGGGGGGGGGGGCTAATTGAAAGAGAAAAAAATTAATCATGAAAAAAAAACTTGACAAGCCAAAAAAAGTAAATTCTCCAAACGAAAAAAAAATCTTATTTCTATGGGGAGGTGGTGCTGAGAATCAACGCCTTTCAGTACCATTTTTTCTCTCACCCCCTCCGGTTTCGGTGCCTATGTTATTATAAGTATTATATAATTGTCCCTTTCATGCATACTGCATAGGCACCTGACGTTACCTATTTTTCTTTTTAAAAAATAATGACCCATACCTAATTATTCTGCTATTAAAAAATATATACAGTGTATAACGTCAGGTGCCTGTGGTTCCGTGCTGTATAAAAAATGTCTTCTTTGCTCTTCTATCTCATTCTCATGGCCCGGAAAAATGAAATGTTTCTAAAACCAAGATGAACATACAAGTTTTTTTTATCTTATTAATAAAACCCGGGTCCCCTGAATTTTCCCCGGTGAGGTGCCCAACCAACTGAACCACTTGGCCACAAGCAATCCATCTAACTACCACATCCCTCCCTTCTTAAAGGTCTTAACCCTCTTAGATACCAACCCCTGCAGTCATCCACCTGTATTTTCCAGGCAACAGCATGGCACCAAATATTGCAGGAGAGAAGAAAAATGCAATGGACGAGGGTCTGGAATCGAACCAAGCCCCATGAGTTTTTTCCAGACAGGTGCTCTACCAAAGGCACGGGGGGTTGGCATATCACTTTTTCCCAAACATTACTTTTACTAATGAAAATGATCATTGAAATGCTTGTCCCCCTTTTGTTGAAGTGTAGTCAAATCAAAGCAGGTAATGAAGGAAAAAATGATGAAGGGGAAAAAACTGAGGAGTTGATACCAAAGGCTCGAAGTATCACATATGCCGTAGGAACTGGGGGCAGGGGGGGGGGGAGTGGGCAATAATAATTTCCGATATATAATATACTATAGAAAACAAACAGTAAACTATAGAAAACATGTAGTATTAATACCACAGAAAACAAAGCTACATTTGAATACCATCCTCGTGCCCCCCCCCTCAACTGAAACGTATGATGACATTTTTTTATAGCTTGTCAAGGAATTTTTGGTATTTGCAATTGATAGTACCTCCTTCTGAAAATTTATAGCTGTCCATAAATATTAACTCAAATTTACCACAAAATTGTTACTGAAGGGAAGGTATGTAGGGCATACTAAATTAGTATATAATAGGAATAATATTTTTAAAAAAAATGAATGAGCTGAAGCTCAAACACCTCGTGTTTTATCTTATCTTACCTGAGCTATAATAAAAGAAGTTCTGATCTGATGTTTGAGACACCGTTCATCGTAAATCTGATTAAATAATTTTATTCTGTAAATAACAACTTTCTTTCCTATCCTTTTGTATGATGTAGACTGCACGCAATCTGTAAAATGAGTCAAACTCAAGTGGCCTACTTAAATGTAATGAATTTGTGTCTCACTACTTCTTCTCCCGACACACTTTTAGCACACTCAGTACAGCAAGAAGTGATTTATTTATTAGATGAAGCAGATTTTTGTTTTTTGTCTTTCAAAATACTTCCGTGTCAACAAACACAAATCCAACATTCAAATTTTTTCAGGATCTAGGAACAATGGAGCAGCAGACAATCAATAAATCAATAAGCAAATCAATCAATCAATAAATTAGTGAATTCCTCATTCATATGTTTCACATATATATTCTTTGTGACATGACCTTTCATTGGATACCACCAACTTTGACCTTTTGACCTTGGAGATTTCCGTACATATGAAAAAACATTAACCTTGACCATAACTTTTGAACGGTAAGGGCTTGGGCTTTCATTCTTCATATATGTAATTCTTTTGAAAAGGCCTTTCATTGGATACTAAGAACTTTGACTCTTTGACCTTGACCTTGGAGTTTTACCTATTTTCATAAAAACCTTTTACCTTTGCCACAACTTATGAACAGTAGATACTAGGACTTTCATATTTTATTTTACATATATATTCTTTGTGGCAAGACCTTTCATTTGATATCAACAACCTTGACCTTTTGACCTCGGAGATTGTTCGTACTTATGAAAAAACTTTAACCTTTACCATAATTTTTGAATGGCAAGGGCTAGGGCTTTTATACTTCACATATGTAATCCTTGTGAGAAGACTTTTCATCAGACATCAAAAACTTTAACCCTTTGACCTTGACCTTGGAGTTCAGTGATTATTTCTAAATAAATGACATATGATAGGGTGTTCATATTACACACAATGTGTCATAAAAAAATGACATCTCATCCACAAAGACACCGAAAGCAGGGGACCAAAATTCCTTGAATTTGCTTGTCCCTTCTG